GGACGAGGCGGGCCTGGCCGGCGCCCGGCAGCTGCAGGAGGCGGCCGGCGACCCAGACGCGCCGCCCAAGAAGCGGCTGCGGGCGGCCGAGGCAGCCGAGGCGGCGGCGGCGGCGGCGGCGGCGGGCAGCGGGAAGCTGGAGGAGCGGCTCTACTCGGTGCTGTGCTGCACCGTCTGCCTGGACCTGCCTAAGGCCTCCGTGTACCAGGTAGGGCCGCCGGCCCGACCCCGACCCAGCCCGGCTCCAGCCCCGCCGCGGCCGTCCCCCTCCCCCCCCACCTCGGGCACCGCGTGCCCTCGGAAGCCAAGTCTGAGCTCCGGGGCCCAGTAGTCGGGACTCTTGGCGTCTGTTCGGAAGCTCTTGATTTTCCTCCTCTCGGGACTTTATTTCCTACTCATAATCAGTTTCTTGTTCTGACTTCCCTTGTTTCTCGATTCGAATCTTTCCGCTTCTTTATTTTTCAGCGTTCCCCGCTGCCTCACCTCAACACTCCCCAGCCCACCCTTTCAAGTTGACCCCCAAGAAAGCTGGTAACAAAGGCCCCCCCCTCGACACACTCCTCAGAGTCGGCTCCCCTCATTCTTGAGCTCCCTGGACTCGGGAGACCCTGGTGTTTTCCTCTTCATTCAAGCCCTTATTCTCTATTTTTTTTAGCAGCCACACCCCCGAAAGCTGTCTTCAAGCTTTTCTTGTATATTTTCTATCTCTCAATGGAAAGAATTCTCGTTCCCTTTTATTTGGGAAGAACTCTGAAAGGATAGGGTCATCTCTTTTTCCTCTTCTCTCCCTTCCCCTCATTCCTGGTCTGGATGAGCCAGCTGCATGAAGCCCCAGTCTGGGTCCCTTCTCTATTCCCAGCCTGACCTCGTGCTCTGCTTTCTAGACATGCTATGCCCTAAGTTAGACTCCCACCCCACTGCCTTACCCACACCACGCCTGGCTTCTTAGGCTACCAGCACTCCAGGAAATGTGTGCACCCTCCTTTTTCCATGTGAGGATCCTGAATGGTGGCTGGACTCAGTCCTTAGCCAGCCACGGCCATCAGAGAGGGCCCTTGGCCCAGGTAGGTCTTACGTGTGCATCACGTAGCAGCAGGGGCCGCACTCTGGCCCAGGTCAGTTTGCAGTGTGCTGCCCTCTTTGTTCACCTGTCTCTCCACCTCAACACCTCCTCCCTACCTCTGACTTTGATACCCCTTCTTCCAAGAACCTCTTTGAGGAATGGAACAGGTTCTCTGTCATCTTTCTTTGCACTTACAGGAGCTGGTCATAGCTGCTGGGGCCTTGTTTTGCTGCTGTTACTCAAACTGGGGGCCATGGGTGAGAGGACCATTTTTGTAGTAAGCACCACAAGGCTAATCTGGGTTGCCATTTCCCCAGCCTCTAGATCTCCAAGTTCTTTCCTGCTTTGGCATGAGGTAGCTCAGGAGGACCCTGGTGTGCAGAGAGGAAAGAGAAGGCATTGGCAGGGAAGTGGGTTGAGTTCTTTGGGTGGAGGGTATTGCCTTTCAGCCTATCCTGGCGAGAGGCCTTAGCTCAGGAATACCATGGGTCTTCTGACCCAGTTGGGGGAGTGCTTCCCATAGCACCTCAGCCTTGGGGGTACCCCCTTAGAGTTGTGCCCTCTCCAGCCCCTTTTTCCCTTGCCCATGATCTTTTGATCCTTTCAGGTGGAGGAATTCTTCCTTCCTTGGGTCTTAAATGAGAGCCCTAAAAAGCCAAGCCACCAATGGTTTGGGGGGAGGGTCCCAGGGGAATTTGGGGGTCTCTTGTCCTGTGAGTGGGCTAGACCTGGACCTGGCATGATGACGTAACAGGCCACATGGTGCTTCCTGGTCCACTCAGCACAGACCCAAAGCTCTGCCTCTGGCCAGAACCACTGTGCTGGGGCCTGTGAGCCTGGCTGGTTCAAACTGGCCACACTGTGCTGGGAGCTGAGCTCTGTCCTGGGCGGGCTGGAGGCAGGCAGCTAAGCAGCTGTGACAGAGACAGTGAAGGAGCTGAGACAACCCTGACTTGTGGCCCTCCCCATGGCCTAATGGTCTGTGCCGAGCAGCTTCCCTGGAAACGGCCTGCTAAGCAAGGAGAGCCCATGATGCTAAGCTGTAGGCTCTGGTACTGGCCCTCCTGCTCCACCTCCATTCTTCCCAAGTGACAGCCGGGCCTTGATAGTGAGTTGTTTTCCTCTCATCTCTGGAGGCCTGGAGAAAGCGCTAGAACATGTAACCAGTAGCAGAGCTCTGGACTCTAGAAAGTTTGACTAGAGTCCTTCCACGGGTTAGCACTTGCTTTGGCTTCTGGAAGCCGTGCCGTGGGTGGGGGCACACCTTGCTTGGATGCATAGCCGTGCCCACGAGGGGCCCGAGGGGTGAGCCGGAGGAAGGAGGGAAGGTTTCTTGGTGGCTCCCTACTGCATACGACCCTGAATGGGGACATTGAGGGTAGTGGTTGGGATGGGCCTGGAGACCTGTGTCATTGCCTCGTCCCATCTGAGTTGGGTTTACTCCCAGGAGGATTTGGTAATGAATGGCCTAGGCCCTACACACATTGTCTCGATTTAAGCCCTACTCATAATCAGTTTCTTGTTCTGACTTCCCTTGTTTCTCGATTCGAATCTTTCCGCTTCTTTTGCCGGCTGGGGTGGGGACAGGGGAGGATTGTACTATACCTGTATTACAGCTGTCCAGAAACTAACATTCCCTTTCAGAGCTGACTTGACATGTACGAGAGGGGGGAGGGTCCAAGGGAGAAGCAGACTCCCCGCTGAGCAGGGACCCAATGCGGGACTCGATCCCGGGACTCCAGGATCATGACCTGAGCCGAAGGCAGTCGCTTAACCAACTGAGCCACCCAGGCGCCCAGCTCCTTCATTTTTGAGGGCCTTCTTTGGTGAGCCATGTTGACTGGCCGCTTCTGGTGGGCTGCTCTAAGGCCTGTGATGTGTTCTGTTCTCTGTTTCTACCAGCAGCATTTCTCCTGACCCCACCAGGACACACGGCTTGTGTCTGGGGATTGTCTTAGATGGTGCCCAGCTCTGGGGTGAGGAGAGTAGCCAGGGGCCGTGGTGAGCCCTGTGCGCTGTGCCTGGCTGAGTCTGTGGGGGACAGCTCCATGGG